ATATTTCCAGTTTTCACGAGCCCCAGGGTGTGACTCATCCTTTACAGGCAGCACTGTTCAGATCAACCGTTACCAAAAAAATTTCTGCTCCGGTCCCTCCTCTCACGTCCTAAACACACCACATTCATTTGTACCATCTAATTGGTCAATCGTTATATGGCTCATATCTGGATTTACAAAGACAATATCCAAATAAACACACAGAGAGCACTTAACTGAGCTAGAGGAGGTTAATTCTCAATGTAAGTCTATAGGAGCAAGAGTGAGTTGGAGCAAAACTTCATCAATGAGCGCTTCCCTATTGTTTGCTGGCAGTAATATCAGGGACTTCAGCTCCTCCCCCTGATGGTAACACAGGGTTGTTTTTTTTTGTTACCCTTTGTTCATGTTACATCCAAATATTTTCCATTTATGTTATTTATGTTATTAATGGCTCTTTTGCAGTCATGTGACCAAAGCGCATCTGGGCGCCATACTGCGGGGATAACAGCTGTCCATCAAGCCGTCAGATTGCAGTCAGAGGGCTTATTTTTTCAGCAAAATGTACATTCAAAATAAGAACGAGAAGAAGGCTTACAGGGAGAAACTCAACAAGGATGCCAAAGACTGGTATCTAGCTAAGCTTTCCTCTATTGGCAAAGTAGCATTAGATCCATATGGGTTTTCCACCAACATAACAACAAATATTGACATAGTTTGTTTTCTTGTGAATGGAGTCAGAGTCATTTACATTCGAAGAGTTTAGAAATTACAAATCCCAGGAGGCTCATGGACTTTTTTACTTGTGGTTGGGTACAAGATATATGTTCATTTCAACAAGAAGGATCTGCTAACACCATTATCACAACTGTTTTACTAGAACAGCCTTTTACACAACACCAATGAGCCCTATTTTGGGAAAAAAACGAATTAAAATAGAGAAAGAAATAGGTCATTTGATGAAGGTTACCATGGGTAGGTTGTTTGTTGGCAATGAAACACGATTGTTGTCATCCCTTCAATATGGCGCTTGAACCCATTCGTGATGTCATTTGCAAAAAAGCCATGGCCAGTAAAAATATCATAATATATATTAATATTTTTAAGATATCATGGGGAAGTCTCATCTGCCACAACATTGATCTTTATTTTGAACAAGTTTGACCCTGTGTACAGTCTGCCCACATGTATTATGGAAACTTGACAGCTCCGTAGTGGATTTGATGAATGAGGAGTGTAAAAACAGCCTCGCTTTGGGTTTTATCAGAGCAGGAGCAGCTCTGCAGAACAAAGCACGAATGAGAGACGAGGCCAAATCCACGGTGCCCCATGAAGACTTAATGAATTCTAGACATTACAGTCCCCGTTAAG